TTTTTGATGACACCCCTTAACTAGCTACATGACTATTTGAAGCTCCACAAAAAAGGAAACAAAAAAAAATGGGATACCAGAGTGCACCTCGGTATATGCCATCTGCACAGTAATTAGACTTGTACTATTTTATTCATGAATATTCTAACTAACATTTCGCTGAGAGGCAGAGGCGGCTTCATCCCAGTGGACACATATGCTGCCCGGTGGCCCTGTGCCTCGCCTTTACAAGTGAGGAGGTCTTGGTAATGAGACCTGTGAGCTCCGGATGCTGGAGGCCAGAGATGACCTTTCTCTGTTTATTTGAGCATCTTCCTCGGCAAAGTTGGCTCGGTGGACGAAGCTTTATGATGTCATTAAAAAAAAGGCACAGGGCGGCTCAAGGACTTGGGTGCTAGACTTCTGAGGGCGCAATGACACAGCAGGACGGGGCTGTTTAGTGAGAGCATACAACAAGAAATGAAACTAAATAAGGCAAAATATACAATTCTCAGCTCTCTTCTTGAAATAATAATAACACATGAAAGTCAATTTAATCCCAGCATTCAATAAAACCATAAAAATCGGGCATTGACACTGTAGAACTACATCTTCATGAGTTTATGAACACTGACAAACTGCTGAACTTAAAGGAGCAGTGTGTAAACATGTGGCCAAAAGTGGTACTGCAGCCTCTCCCACTCTCCCTGACTCAGGTTGCCAGATATGCAGACGAATCCAGCTGGGACCATAACAGCTGAATAGACAAGAGTTTAGTCAACAACAAATCTATAACCAACACCTTTTTCACAAAGATAGAAATCCTGGTTTTATTCCTTGTTTTGTTGTTAATGATTTGAGAATCATAACAAGACCTTTTTTAGTTCTGCGCCACATGGTACTTTACCAGTGAGATTAGCTCCACGCGGTGAGTTCTGGTGGAGGGCGGGACATCGAAATGAAAATAATAACAAGATTTAGGGGCTGATTAGGGCCCTTTACTGACGACAGATTAGGCCCTTGAATGACGAAAGATTATGGCCCTCTAATGATGACAGATGAGGCCCTTTAATGACAACAGATTAGGGCCCTTTAACGATGACAGATTAGGGCCCTTTAATGACGACAGATTAGGGCCCTTTAATGACAACAGATTAGGGCCATTTAATGACAACAGATTAGGGCCATTTAATGACAACAGATTAGGGCCATTTAATGACAACAGATTAGGGCCCTTTAACGATGACAGATTAGGGCCCTTTAATGATGACTTCACATGAAACTCTTACACATTACTACCTTAATTACTTGTGGTTGTTTACACTGTAAAACAACAGACGGATCAATGTTTATCGGTTCCGTCTGAAGTAAAAATGCACATATTTGTTAAAGGTGACAAATACTCGCTTCACATATCTTCTGAGGGAGATTGCGTGTGACCGTCGGGACATGCTTTCTGATTCCAGCTGTTTACTCTCAGCACGACTCTTATCATTAGTCGGTAATTAAAGAAAGTGACGAGTGATTAGAACATACTTTGTGGTTCATTTTTAATTACTGAATGTCACTTCTTATGAGAGATGATGTTCCTCCCGACGGCAAATCAATAACATCTCATTTTGGAATTCTGAAATCCTTTTCTTTCCCAAAATAACCCAACAAATGTCATAAATAGTCAAACTGTGAGAAGATTTCATCAACGGCAGAAGCGGCACGGTGGCTGAGTGGTTAGCATCCTCGAATCCCGGTCGGAACAGGGTCTTTCTGAGGGGAGTTTGCATGTTCTCTCCGTGTCTGGGTAGGTTTCCTCCGGGTGCTCCGGTTTCCCTTACCACTAAAAACATGTACGATAGGTCTGAGTGTAATGTCTGAGTGAATGGATGGTGTTGATTGGGGGTTCTGATGCTCCGGTGTGTTCTAAAGCGCTATGGGAGACCTTGGACTGTATGTGACGCCAGTGTTTTTCAACCTTTTTAACCCGTGGCACACCTTTGTCATTGAAAACAACCACATGGTGCACCACAAGCTGAAACTGATACTCAATTTAAACTTTATTAACAAAGCAAAGTCTCTCTCTTCAACGTGTAGTATACAGAAAACCAAACTAGCACAAAAAAGTTTCATTTTAACTCATTGATTGCCATTGACGTATTTGTCTGAGACCCTCTTCTCGGCTGGAGATTACAGGAGAACAAAAATAGCTAGAAACAAACTTATTTTTGCTGATCAAAGTAGACGATCCAGTCTTTCAGAATCTGGTTTCATATTTTACATAGTCGTAGGAAATAATATTCTGTGGCTCTTGAGAATCTGTGAAATCATCAAAAACGGCAGAAGTCAGTGAGTTAATTGTCTCACGTTATTTTCTTTTCACATTATTTAACCAAGCAGGTGACATTGGATTATTATTCTATATAAATACAGATGACTTATGTACTTACTGACTAGTCTTATGTTGACCTGTCGATAAATCTCCTGAAAAGAATACTTTTGTCTAATTTGTATAGTGATATTGCAGATTCATTAGTGTCTTCCACATTCAGACCCGTGTCATACAACATGCACTGTCCTTGTACTGTCCTTAACTATGTACCTTTGTGAAAGTTCTGCGTTTCCGGGCCCTATGACTCACTCCTCTTCTCCAAGCAGATAATGGAGCATTTATTTTCCCTGTATGTGTTCGTCATATCTCCAGCCTGCGTCAGTTGAATGTGGGGACTATAGGCCTTTACCCCGACAGGCCGTAGATGTTATCCCGCACACACTGCTCTAAATCATGTAGTGTGGCTGTGAGCGTGTCAAAGGCGGCCTCCGGGAGTGAAGGGGCCACAGGGAGAGACTCCAGGATGTGAGACCAGAAAGCTGTTTTCTTAATGACACGCTATCGGCTGCAAGAGACTAAAATGCAACAGTCCTTCAGGTCACAGCAGCAGAGGTGGAGCCCGCAGGAGAAATGCAAGTTTCCAGTAGCAGCAGACTCACATCCATTCATAGAAGCAAAACAAATAAATATATAACTCTAAACATAGATAACAATAGTACTAAAATGTCACAGCAGCAGAGGTGGAGCAGCCTCTGGGTGGAGCAGGACGGGTCATAGCAGCAGAGGTGGAGCAGGACGGGTCACAGCAGCAGAGGTGGAGTAGCCTCTGGGTGGAGCAGGACGGGTCACAGCAGCAGAGGTGGAGTAGCCTCTGGGTGGAGCAGGACGGGTCATAGCAGCAGAGGTGGAGCAGGACGGGTCACAGCAGCAGAGGTGGAGTAGCCTCTGGGTGGAGCAGGACGGGTCACAGCAGCAGAGGTGGAGTAGCCTCTGGGTGGAGCAGGACGGGTCATAGCAGCAGAGGTGGAGCAGCCTCTTGGTTCAGACCATTTTCTCTGCTCTGGTCTCTAAATTCTTTGTTAGCATTTTTCAAAACGTTATCATTCCTGCAGTGGATTTTCACCTGATCCACTTGGTTCAGACCATGAATCCTCTCTGCTCTGGTCTGGACCAGTGTAAAACCATGAATCATCTCTGCTCTGGTCTGGACCAGTGTAAAACCATGAATCATCTCTGCTCTGGTCTGGACCAGAACACTGAACTGCAGCAACATCTCAAATAGAAAAAAATCAAGAAAAATATAAATTATAAAACACAAAAAAACAGTCTGAGAGACACTCAGGACTCGCTGCAGTTTCCAGAACATTCAGAGGTATTTTTTGTCAGTACGACATGGACATTATTCAGTGAAATAACAGAATGTGTTGGTTTATCTGCTCTGCTGCATCCACTGTCATTATTTGTTGGATAAATAAATTACCAACTTAAAGAGCTATTAGCTTATTTTAGAATTTTCTGGTCCAGAGCAGAGAGGATTCATGGTCCGAACCATGTGGATAAGATAAAATAAGATAAGCTTTATTTATCTCACAGAGGATAAATGTACATGTCACATTTGGCATGGATAGAGACACTCAGATTGTGCAAAAGGAGGAAATGTGCAAACATGTTACATGCAGGATATATATGTACAACAAAAGTGACAAGTGTCAATTGGAAACAGTGTCAATAGTAGTGCAGGTTTTCACACAGTGATCATTTAAAGTGACTTATTGTACAGTCTGACAGCGGTGGGGATAAAGGCCCTGCGGCAGCGCTCCTTCCTACACTGAGGGTGCCTCAGTCTTCCACTGAAGGAGCTCCTCAGCTCCTCTACAGTCCTGTGCAGTGGGAGGTGTTGTTCATGATGGAGGTGGCTTTGGCTAGCACCTCCTGTCCCTCACCTCCTCCACAGAGTCCAGGGGCCTCCTGTCCCTCACCTCCTCCACAGAGTCCAGGGGCCTCCTGTCCCTCACCTCCTCCACAGAGTCCAGGGGCCTCCTGTCCCTCACCTCCTCCACAGAGTCCAGGGGCCTCCTGTCCCTCACCTCCTCCACAGAGTCCAGGGGCCTCCTGTCCCTCACCTCCTCCACAGAGTCCAGTGGCCTCCTGTCCCTCACCTCCTCCACAGAGTCCAGGGGCCTCCTGTCCCTCACCTCCTCCTGACCAGCTTGTTCAGTCTGTTTCTGTCCCGCTCTGTGCTGCCCGGGGCCCAGCACACGGCAGCGTAGTAAATGGCAGAAGCTACCACAGAGACATAAAAAGTCCTGAGCAGAGGCCTGCTCACTCCGAAGGACCTCAGGGATCAGAGGAAAATCCACTGCAGGAATGCTAACTTTTTGATAATGCTAACAAAGGCTTCAGAATTTTACTTTGGACCAGAGCAGAGAAAATGATCTGAACCAAGCGGCTCCATCTCTGCTGCTGTGACCTGAAGGACTGTTGTATTTTAATATTACCATTGTTAGATACTTTTAGAATTATTTTTAGTTGTTTTATTTGTTTGGATGGATGTTTTTCTCCTGCTTTCATCTATCTATCTATAAAACGCCTCTTCTACTCAGAGAGACTCTTAATAAAGTCGGAAAACCATTTCAACTTTTAGTGAAACGCTTTTCAGACAAATAGGATTTGTTTAATCTCCAAACAGCAGCAGGGCTCACACCTCGGCCCCTGGAGCTCGTCTTAACCACTGCTCCACATTTAGGGTGAAGGAAGAATACAGATGTGATGAATGCAGATTGTCTTTGTGCCGGACGGGCTGACCCCAGCTCATGGCGCCCGGCTGACCCCAGCTCATGGCGCCCGGCTGACCCCCGCTCATGGCGCCCGGTGCACACGGCCTTCTTCAAACACATGTAAACTCATCTCATCTTTTACCCACACTCACCGCTTAGTGGGCCACCATCTTTATTCATGACGGGAGCTCTCTGTGGCACATCAAGAGCTGCTGCTGCCGGAGGAAGAGTGGCAGACGGCACTGTCAAAAAGCAGATCCGCACAAAAGAATAAAAAATGTGCTCAAATGCAGCTGTATAACTCTGGGGACGGGGGCGTGTAGAGGTGCAGCTAACACACTCTGTGGAGCCACATACAGATCACCTCATCACCGCCTCTGAATAAACATCTTTTAGTGGATTCAGGACAGAGAGAGGTCTTTGACTGCAGCCCACAGCACGGAGCAGCACGGTGGCTGAGTGGATAGCACTCTCGCCTCTCAGCAAGAAGTTCGAATCCCGGTCGGAACAGGGCCTTTCTGAGAGGTGTTTGCATGTTCTCCCTGTGTCTGTGTAGGTTTCCTCCGGGTGCTCCGGTTTCCCATCCATCCATCCATCCATTTTCTTCCGCTTTATCCGTTGCCGGGTCGCGGGGGCAGCAGTCTAAGCAGAGACGCCCAGACTTCCCTATCCACACACACTTCCTCCAGCTCGTCCGGGGGGACCCCAAGGCGTTCCCAGGCCAGCTGAGAGACATAGTCTCTCCAGCGTGTCCTGGGTCTTCCCCGGGGCCTCCTCCCGGTGGGACGTGCCCGGAACACCTCCCCAGGAAGGCGTCCAGGAGGCATCCTGAACAGATGCCCGAGCCACCTCAACTGGTTCCTCTCGACGTGGAGAAGCAGCGGCTCTACTCCGAGCTCCTCCCGTGTGACTGAGCTCCTCACCCTATCTCTAAGGGAGCGCCCAGCCACTCTGCGGAGGAAGCTCATTTCGACCGCTTGTATCCGCGATCTCGTTCTTTCGGTCATTACCCACAGCTCATGACCATAGGTGAGGGAGGGAACGAAGATTGACCGGTAAATCGAGAGCTTCGCCTTTCGGCTCAGCTCCCTCTTTACCACAACGGTCCGATACAGAGACCGCATCACTGCGCACGCTGCACCGATCCGCCTGTCAATCTCACGCTCCATCCTTCCCTCACTCGTGAACAAGACCCCGAGATACTTGAACTCCTCCACTTGAGGAAGGACCTCTCCACCCACCTGAAGAGGGCAAGGCACCTTTTTCCGGTCGAGCACCATGGCCTCGGATTTGGAGGTGCTGATTCTCATCCCAGCCGCTTCACACTCGGCTGCAAACCGTCCCAGTGCATGCTGCAGGTCCTGGTTCGTTGGAGCCAGCAGGACGACATCATCCGCAAAAAGTAGAGATGAAATCCTGTGGTTCCCGAACCGGACCCCCTCCGGCCCCTGGCTGCGCCTAGAAATTCTGTCCATAAATACAGTGAACAGAACCGGTGACAAAGGGCAGCCTTGGCGGAGGCCAACCTGCACCGGGAACAGGTCTGACTTACTGCCGGCAATGCGAACACAGCTCTGACTCCGGTCATACAGGGACCGGACGGCCCTCAGCAGAGGACCCCGGACCCCGTACTCCCGGAGGACCCCCCAAAGGACACCCCGGGGAACACGGTCGAACGCCTTCTCCAAATCCACAAAGCACATGTGGACAGGTTGGGCGAACTCCCATGAACCCTCGAGTATCCGATGGAGAGTATAGAGCTGGTCCAGTGTTCCGCGACCGGGACGAAAACCACACTGCTCCTCCTGAATCCGAGATTCGACCATCGGACGTAGCCTCCTCTCCAGTACCTTGGAGTAGACCTTACCGGGGAGGCTGAGGAGTGTGATCCCACGATAATTGGAACACAACCTCCGGTCCCCCTTCTTGTAGAGAGGGACCACCACCCCGGTCTGCCACTCCATTGGCACCGCCCCCGATCGCCACGCGATGCTGCAGAGACGTGTCAGCCAAGACAGTCCTACAACAACTCCGGTTGTTGTAGCTCCGGTTTCCCCTACTACTAAAAACATGCACAATAGGTCTGAATGTAAATGAGAGAGTGAATGGATGGTGTTGGGTCAGAGGCTTTGATGGTCCAGTGTGTTCTGGACTCGCTTCTGTCATCACCGTGTGTGGAAGGATTGGAACAATATCTGACTCTGAACTTTGTAAAGTGCTTTGGGTCTGAACCTTGGTCTGTAAAATGCGCTATATAAATAAACATTACTTACTTACATCCACAACCTTCTCTTCCAAATGCCTTTTAATATAAACAGTAACAAATAGTGTTGCCAACTTTATTATTGGATAACAGAATCAAACTACAAACTAAGTGTGTAGGGAACTAATTAAAATACTGATGTAATATCCTCAGTGTGTCCCAAACAGCGGTATTGACCCGCTGCTTATCACATATGGTCCTTGAAATTACTAAGACGTGTAATACATCATTGTAAAGCATTTGTCTCTATTTAAATTGTATTTTGAACACAGTTTTCAGTCCAAGTGTTCTGAGTTGTCTATGGGCTCTGTGCGCGCACCACTTTTGCGTTTTAGTTATAACAACACTTGAATTCTGGTGCGCGGGGATCTTGAGTTTCACTGGAGTTCAGATGTTTAAATGAGTTTCCTAAATAATGCTCAAACTGGAATCAAACTGTGAGGATGCAGTGCATTGTGGGACACAGCAGTGCTCTTTGATTGTATGAATTGTGCTATACAAATAAACTTGCCTTGCCTTGCCATTGTGCTTTTATAAAGTTAAGTAATCTTTCTGAGTGGCCACAGTCAAAGCTCTACCTCAGAGAGAAAGCACGTCCACACTTTTAGGTCAGTCTCAGCTGACACTGGCCCTTTATGAAAAGGCGCTCCATGTTGCCCCTTCTGGCCATGTCAATTACTGCGTGTCATTGGACGCTGAAAGTCTGTTGGGAAAGTGTTTTTACAGTTGAGTTCATAAAATCCATTCCCTGTAAGTAAATATGAGTTAATTAGGTTTGGACAATTCATTGAGATATGTTTTAAACACACAATAGTTGGTAGAGCTCGGCCTTTGAGCCTGAAGGTTGTGGGTTCGAGCCCACCACGAGACCTACTTCACGACTCCTACTGATGTCTGCTGTTGTTGTGTCCTTGGGCAAGACACTTAATCCCACTTTGCCTGAAGCCCCTGCTGGAAGACCAAGGCTCCTGTGGACTCAGCACTTGCAGGAGGATCAGTGAGGGGCTGGTGCTCTGTGACTGCCACCCCCCACCCAGAAATGGATTAAGGGGAAGAAAATGGATGAATGGATGTTTTAAAATGTGATAAGAGGCATAAAAAACTATTTACAGTTTAAGTAGGCCATGTTTGTGCAGGAGCCCTTAAGCTAATGTTAGCACCAAAACATAAAGTTAAAGCTTAGTCTTTAATTGAAAGGAACAATGTACAGAGACATTAAGCTCAAAGACAGAAATGTTCTGCACCAATTTAGCTAAACAGTTGTTTCCATCTGCAGTCCCTGGTTTCTCTTTTTGTATTTCATGTACACTGTATTTGTTGTTACAGTTTCACACCAGACATAAAGGAAAGGTCAGACTAACTGCTAATTTACACATCACGCGTTACAGCACGTACGCGTTATACGAGCAGCAGACGCGCGTAACTTGTTTCCATGTTAACCTATGATGATATTTACACTTCTAGCGTTATATGAGCGTATGACGGACGTATGACGCGAAGCTGCGCTCTAATTTAGGATGGATTTCTAATTTTGTGCGCGCACCAACGCGTTTCCCATTGAAATCTCATGTAAAACATGATTTTTCTAGCGGTCCTTGGCTTTAGATCACATCTGCACACACACAGCACTTGTATCTAAACATCAGCAGGAGGAGCAGCAGGTTTTACAGTGATTCTGGACATCGTTTTTTTTCTTTCATAAAGTCTCGCGTCTGGCCAAACCAGCGCACAGAGACCATGAAGACAAACACATGCATGTGATTTGTGTTGCTCTACATCAGTCCTCTGGCTCGTACTGTCCTCTACACTGCTCCACAGACTACACAGGGAGAGCATCAGAAGACGCGGACCTGCGCGCACGGTCAGTGTAGATCAGGGGTCTCAAACTCAACTTACCTAGGGGCCGCTGGAGGTAGAGTCTGGGTGAGGCTGGGCCGCATCACAAAAAAACGCTGCATCACAAAAAAAGATGTATTCCAGTATTCCAAAAAAAAGTTCCACTGATCCAATCTTCTCAATCTTAACAAGTCAGAACTTGCAGAACACGAACAGTTCTTCAGAACATAGGCTTCATTCACTTCCTTCTACTCCTTGCTACCAGAGACTTGGCAGCGCTTCCTCTCACACAGCTGAGACACATTTGGCTTGAGGGAGGAGGCAACTGAGACCCTCAGTGTAGCTTTAAGGTTCTCATCTTTAAGTCTGGACCTGAACTTTGACTTGTTAAAGTTCATTGTGGAAAAGAGTTTTTCACACAGATAGGTGCTGCCAAAAAGGCACATGGTCCGCTTGAACATCCTGGAAAGCTCAAGAAAGGTGGGGGGGAGTTTTCTCAAAAATTGTTCAAGCTCCATTGTTTTTCCGCTCACCTCCCTGAATTTGGCTTTGAGTTCAGTATTACATTGCAGGTCAATTAGCTCCATCTGCAGGACAGGGGGGGCATCCTCCACATTAAAGGAGAAGGGGTCAGTAAACATTTGAAAAGTGGCTCTGTGTGTCTTGAAGTCTGCTAACCTGTGATCAAATTCTTCTTGTAGCTTTCCGATAGTATCAGCATACTTCTCACCACTGAATGTTGTGCCTGAATCCATGAGTTCCTTGCATGCTGGGAAATGGCAGAGGTTTGTCTGGGAAAGCTGGGCTTTCCATAACATAAGTTTTGTGGAAAATGCTCTGACACTGTCATATGCAACACTGACAAGCTGGCCCTGGCCTTGTAACTTCTTGTTCAGTACATTCAGCTCCTGTGTGATGTCAACAAGAAAAGCTAAGTCCATTAGCCATTTAGGATCACTTAGCACAGGAACAGCCATCCCATCCTTCTCCATGAAGGCTTTCACTTGTGCCCTCAACTCAAAAAACCTCTTCAAGACCTTCCCCCTGCTGAGCCAACGTACCTCGGTAAAGGAGAGCACGTCCTCATATTCTGACTCTATTTCAACCAAAAAGTCACGGAACTGCCGGTGCTTTAAAGCCCTGGATCTGATATGGTTGATGAATTTCACGACGTCAGACATCACATTGTCAAACTTTAAGATTTTGCTGCATAGGGCCTGCTGATGGATAATGCAGTGCAGAGCAATGGCATCTTCCACACCCTCCTCTTCCAGTTTTCTTCGAACATGTGCTACAAGTCCGTTTTTCCTCCCTGTCATTGATGGCGCCCCATCTGTAGTTATTCCAGCCAAACACTTCCATTGTAAGCCGGCATCCCCAATGCAATCACACAGCTGGCGGAATATCTCCTGACCGGTGGTCTGGCCATGCATTGCAATCACTGTGAGCAACTCCTCCGTAACTTCAAAATTGTTATCAACACCACGGACATATATTGCAAGCTGCGCCGTGTCAGTGACGTCTGTGCTCTCATCAAGAGCGAGTGAGTAAGAATGGAAATGTTTAGCTTTCTCACGCAGTTGATCATAAATGTTATCTGACATGTCAGAAATGCGCTCTGCCACTGTGTTGGCTGAAAAGCTGATGTTACTAAACTGAGCCTTTTTTTCCGGGCAGACTATACTGGCAGCCTGTAACATGCATTGTTTGATGAACTCACCGTCTTTGAACGGCTTTCCTGCTTTAGCGATCATCTCACTCACCACGTAGCTAGCTTTGAGAGCCGCTTCACTCTTTTTCTTGGCTTTCTTGAAAAAATCTTGTTGCCTCAGAAGACATGTTTTAAGTTTGGCGACCCGGTCCTCTCGCTCATCTCCCAGGTACTTTGCATACTCCTCGGCGTGTTTTGTTGAGTAATGACGTTTAATGTTATACTCCTTGTGCACCGCAACTTTTTCCGAGCATATTAGACACGTTGGAATGCCCCTGTGCTCAACAAAAAAATATTGCAGCTCCCACTTCTCCTGAAATTGTCTGTGCTCATCGCTAACTTTTCTCTTCACGACAGGTTTTGATAAAGACATGGCTGGGGCTAAATAAAACCGTATTGACAAGATATTATACTTCCAATCGTTCATCCAAACATTTTGCGTGATTTGCGCTGTTCTCGCGAGCCTGAGCTACGGGAGTCCACAGGTGTCAAAAAACATAAACCCCCAGAAGCGTGCGGAAAAAAAATGCGCGGGCCGCACTAACACAAAGCTTTGATTAGAAGCAGAGGGCATCAAACTATTGACCAGCGGGCCGCAATTGGCCCCCGGGCCGCGTGTCTGAGACCCCTGGTGTAGATACTCCAAAAAAATGTTACGCGCAGATAGCGCGCAGTAAATGCGTACGCGCTGTTTACGCCTACTGTGTAAATCCCCCGTAAGAATGCACCGATAGGTAGTAGAAAAAGGGTTCTACACCAAGCATGCACTCATTTGGTTAAGCTCTGACATAGTAAAACATGCAAGATTAACAGTAACGCCTAAAAACTGCGGCCTGCACAGTTCAATAGTCCTGAGTATGTGAAATATTCAGCCTCAGACAGAAACAAGCCAAGGCCTGGATGTTTATGGCTCTCACTGTCTTGTAAGTCACAATATATATTAATACATGTGGAAAATGTGTCTCTTTTCCCGCCGTGGATCTGTCACACCGCCCCAGAGGCTGCGACTCCAGAACGGCGCGGCAGCATTTTACCGTCGACAACAACAAAGCTAGGTGCTATATTTCAATCTCAAGAAACGAGATGCAGACGTGGAAGATAAAGAATGTGCTCGTGCCGGTGGCTGTTGTGCGGAGGACGCTCAAACTGATCCTGAATTACAGCAGAAGGATTTACAACCATGTTACAGTCAACTTTCAACAACAAAAAGGAAATATGATCAATATTCGGATACAAATATATGGGCTGTAGCCAAAGTTGGAAAGAAGTCTATTGATAGATGGCTGTGGAGCTAAACCAGGAAGTACGGTGAAATCCTGGTTTCCTAAAGGTTGGAGCACAAACATGAATTAAGGATTTATGTGTCAAAATACAGGGCGGTGCTTCAAGTCAAGAGGCTGGACCTGTCACAAACCTCAGTAAATAACAGACCATGTAGCAATTCCACAGGTGTCCACAAGATGGAGGCACCTGGGAGCAGGAGGACACACCCAAAGAGGCTTTAAGTAGGCCTTCCTGTTTGTAGTCCATTAATACATAACAAATGGTCCTTCGAGCCGGATACTGAGACACAGCCGTCAGTGACCTGCTATGGATCCAGAGGGCTCAACTACTGGCACTGCTACAGCTCCGGCTAAAGCTGATGGCAGTGAATCTTTGGATGGAGCTGGGGATGGATTGTTTCCTGGTGGTCTGTGTCTCCAGTTCAAACATTTATACATAACAGAACCTATTTGCTTTTTCTGCGAAGTATTATGTAGGTTCTGAAGCTAACATCAGGTGATCAGGTGTCCTCTGTTGTTCTATGATTAATGAGATAAGATGGGTTATTCTCCCACTGGTGACTGCTGTTGTTGTGTCGTTGGGCAAGACACTTAACCCCACTTTGCCTGAAGCCCCCACTGGATGATGACTCTGCACCTGCAGGAGGATCAGTGAGGGGCTGGTGCTGTGTGACTGCCACCCCCCGACCCAGAAATGGATTAAGGGGAAGAAAACGGATGGATGGGTTATTCCTTGATTGGTCCCACTGTGGAAATGTCGGTGTCATCGTTGCACATTACAGCAGGGAAAGAAGGAAATCAGACTCAGATTGCACACATCAAACAGAGTCTATTAGTTAAGATAATAGATCACAAAATTTAAATAAAGTTAAATTGAATAGAATAAAAAAACAATGATAATGATTGATTGAACAGTAAAATGGAAATCCCAGAATCCTTCATGATATCGCACTCCTTTTTCTTCTTAATATATACCGTACATCCTGGACGCCTCTGTATATCGGTGAGTATTTTCACACATGTGTTACTGAGATTGATGCTAACTACTCTAGCGATTGACCCGCCGGGGCGTGCTCAGTGCGAACATTCCAACCAACTGAGAATTTAGACGGCAAAAACACCAAACATCTCTGTGGGTCAGTAAGAAGGTTAAAGATGAACACCCGAGGGAAAACCAGTGTGGGCGGGTCTCGGCTCCAAAATGTCCACGAGCCCGTGCATGACATGCTGCAATCTCACTCCTTGCTGGTGGGGGTGTACCCGGAAATAGAACTACCCAATGCTTGTGTGTGGTGTCTCCTTTCCTCTTGAAAACGTCTTTCCAGGATGGTCCAAAAGTGGTTCTTGGTCCAAAAGTGGTTCTTGGTCCAAAAGTGGTTCTTGGTCCAAAAGTGGCTCTTGGTCCAAAAGTGGCTCTTGGTCCAAAAGTGGCTCTTGGTCCAAAAGTGGTTCTTGGTCCAAAAGTGGCTCTTGGTCCAAAAGTGGTTCTTGGTCCAAAAGTGGTTCTTCGTCCAAAAGTGGTTCTTGGTCCAAAGCCTCGTTCCAGATGCTGTCAATACTGAGGGCAGTATATATTTTTGAACCAGTCTAGTTTAGCCGCTGTGGACTTCACTTGTTAAATTAATGCGTTTTCTTTTACATTTTCCTGCCCCGCGGCCATTTTGAAAAACCCCACAGAAGGCCAAAGCGGTGGCACATTGGTTCCAGCGGCGATGATTGGCGTCACTACGCCTGTTACAGTCTGTGGGTAAAAGACTTTGTGTAATGACAAAAGCTCTGTTTGGGTGAAGCTCTGTCAAATTGTACTGCTCTTCTTTTAATACTTGCAAAAACTATGTTTGACAAACTTTATAAAATTCCCATAGACCGTTATGATGCAAGTCTCAGAGGCCCTGGATATATTTGCGAAAATACTTTTTAAGACTCATCTTTAAAGTTGGAAATGTGTTTTAACTCTTACTGGGTTGTAAATGTCCCTCTGCCACAGCTCCTGGTGAGACTTGATGACATTGAAAAAACCTTGTGCTAATGGACTGTGGATCCTGAAATATTTAGACTGAGGCCGGTGGGGTCACAGTAACATACAAAGTGGTTGGGGTGAAACCATCAGTCACAGGGCAGCCGTTAATTGCTTCCTCATCCCCCCTTTGCTCTCACATAATCCTAACATCAGTGAGACTCTGCAGATGGAAGGCCCGAGTTTCAAGGAGAAATATGAACCTTTTATGCAAATGTTGAGGTCTATACCTTTCAAGACAGAGGACCGCAACGTGTCCAATGTCTAATGTCCACCAATAACAGTGACACACCCAGATGTACACAAACACTCACACACAGATGCACACGAACATACACACACACTGACAGACGTACACACATGCTCACACAGACGTTCACTCACAGAGAGGTATACACACACACACTCACACAGACGTACACACACAAGCACCACACACACGCTGACACACATGGACGTACACACACACACACAGACGTACACACCCTCACACAGACGTACACACACTCACACAGACGTACACACACTGACACACACACAGACGTACACACCCTCACACCGACGTACACACAGACGTACACACACACACACAGACGTACACACAGACATACACACACACAAAGACGCACACACACACACTGACACACACGGACGTACACTGACACACACACACATAATGCAGAAATTGCGTTAGTTTTCGCACCTTATATTGAGAAACACCAGTCTTTGGAGCAAACCTTACATTTCTGTTGTTTTTGGAGAGCGGTCCGGTTCGTCTTCTCTCGGCCAAAAACTCTGCCCATTGCCATTTCCCCCCATTTCTCATCGGGGACGACCCAGCAGCCAATCACAGCGTTCCTAGAATATTGGCAAGAGCGGCAGATGTACATAGCAGCACAGTAATCACGGTTCAGTCAGTTTTGCGGCACGCCTAAGCTCCTGCCAAATCCTTAATTAACTCAATTTGAAAAGCAGAAAGAAGACCTAATGGAGGCAGAGTGCTCACTTCCAGGATTTTAATTCAGACTGTAATTTTAACATGAACTTGTGCAGTGAGTTTAAGCATTAGTCCAACAATAGACGCCCCGGTCGTACCGAGGGTTGGATGCTACTCTGACTGGCTAGCTCCACACTTTTTTGCCTGTGTTTGTTGAGTTTCAAAAGCTTCGATGCATGCAGACGTTCACACACATGGATGTACACACACACACAGAGACGTACACACACTTACACAGATGTACACACACACACACAGACATACACACACTCACACAGACGTACACACACACACATGGATGTACACACACAGAGACTTACACACACTCACACAGACTTACACACACACACACATTGACACACACACATGTACACACACACTCACACAGACAGACACACATACACTCACACATGGATGTACACACTCACACACAGAGACGTACACACTCTCACACAGACGTACACACACATGGATGTACACACACACACACACACACACAAATACAGACGTACACACACACACAAATGGATGTACACGCACACACACAGAGACATACACAGACGTACACACTCACACAGACATACACACACACTCACACAGACGTACACACACACACGGATGTACACATACACACACACATGGATGTACACACACACACACAGAGACATACACACACTCACACAGACTTACACACACACACATTGACACACACAGATGTACACACACAAATACAGACGTACACACACTCAGACAGACGTACACACACAGACGTACACACACACAAATAGACATATCCTCACACAAATACAGACGTACACACACACAGACGTACATACACACAAATACAGATGTACACACACTCACACAGACAAACTCACACAAAAACTTACACTCACTCACACAGACGTACACACACACACATACAGACGTACACACACACAAATACAGACGTACACTCACACACACAGACAAACTCACACAAAAAAAGACGTACACACACTCACACACACAGCTCGCCACATTTTTCCTCTTTGAGTATTAATTAAATTTCAAAAGCTTGGACTGACACGTTGCACAACCGTCAGAATGATAGCGCTCTGAGAGGCAGCTGACTCCCGCGGGTCAGGCCGTGGGCTGGATCACAGGTGTGGACTGGATCACAGGTGTGGGCATGATCACAGGTGTGGGCATGATCACAGGTGTGGGCTGGATCACAGGTGTGGGCATGATCACAGGTGTGTTCTGGATCACAGGTGTGGACTGGATCACAGGTGTGGGCTGGATCACAGGTGTGTTCTGGATCACAGGTGTGTTCTGGATCACAGGTGTGGACTGGATCACAGGTGTGGGCATGATCACAGGTGTGGGCTGGATCACAGGTGTGGGCTGGATCACAGGTGTGGGCATGATCACAGGTGTGGACTGGATCACAGGTGTGGACTGGATCACAGGTGTGGGCTGGATCACAGGTGTGTTCTGGATCACAGGTGTGTTCTGGATCACAGGTGTGGGCTGGATCACAGGTGTGGGCATGATCACAGGTGTGGGCATGATCACAGGTGTGGGCTGGATCACAGGTGTGGACTGGATCACAGGTGTGGGCTGGATCACAGGTGTGGACTGGATCACAGGTGTGGACTGGATCACAGGTGTGGGCTGGATCACAGGTGTGGGCATGATCACAGGTGTGGACTGGATCACAGGTGTGGACTGGATCACAGGTGTGGGCATGATCACAGGTGTGGACTGGATCACAGGTGTGGACTGGATCACAGGTGTGGGCATGATCACAGGTGTGTTCTGGATCACAGGTGTGTTCTGGATCACAGGTGTGGACTGGATCACAGGTGTGGACTGGATCACAGGTGTGTTCTGGATCACAGGTGTGGACTGGATCACAGGTGTGGGCTGGATCACAGGTGTGGGCTGGATCACAGGTGTGTTCTGGATCACAGGTGTGGACTGGATCACAGGTGTGGGCATGATCACAGGTGTGGACTGGATCACAGGTGTGGACTGGATCACAGGTGTGGGCATGATCACAGGTGTGTTCTGGATCACAGGTGTGTTCTGGATCACAGGTGTGGGCTGGATCACAGGTGTGTTCTGGATCACAGGTGTGGACTGGATCACAGGTGTGGGCTGGATCACAGGTGTGGGCTGGATCACAGGTGTGGGCTGGATCACAGGTGTGGGCTGGATCACAGGTGTGTCCTGCGGCCGGGTTTTAAATGTGATTCCCAAGAATTGGTCCGTCCGGAATCGGATCAATACGCGGCTTGGTGGAGCAAGGGAACAGTACAGGTAAAATCAATAATGGGCTGGACTCATTGAAGCAGTGGTGGCAGGCCTAATTAAACATGGATAAAGCTCTATCAGTCGGGTCAAGAAAGGGTTGAGTTTCTGCTTTTATTCAAACAAAATGTTACCTGAACAAACCCTCTGAAATAATAGATTATAATCGGTCTATATTTTTTTATTTGTTTTTTTTAGCATCTGATACACTTATTTTTTAAGCTAAATGTCTATGCCTTACAGTAGCAATATGTAAGATTTTCCCTAATCTGTCATCATTAAAGGGCCCTAATCTGTCATCATTAAAGGGCTCTAATCTGTCATCATTAAAGGGCCCTAATCTGTCATCATTAAAGGGCCCTAATCTGTCATCATTAAAGGGCCCTAATCCGTCATCATTAAAGGGCCCTAATCCGACATAATTAAAGGGCCCTAATCTGTCATAATAATAAACTGATCTTTTCCAATACTTCTTTAACTGATAACAGTCGTTCAGAGATATTTGAATTTATAAATTACTTTTCCAGACCATAAATCTTGTTATTGTTTTCATTTTGATGTCCCGCCCTCCACTGTTTCACCAATCAGAAAGTCTGTGATCCGGGCGCCAGAACTCACCGCGTGGAACTAATCTCACTGGTAAAGTACCATGTGGCGCAGAACTAAAAAAGGTCTCGTTATGATTCTCAAATCATTAACGACAAAACAAGGAATAAAACCAGGATTTCTATCTTTGTGAAAAAGGTGTTGGTTATAGATTTGTTGTTGACAAAACTCTTGTCTATTCAGCTGTTATGGTCCCAGCTGGATTCGTCTGCATATCTGGCAACCTGAGTCAGGGAGAGTGGGAGAGGCTGCAGTACCACTTTTGGCCACATTTGTACATACTGCTCTTTTACGGGTATATTGGAGGATTTTCTACTTCCGGGTGGATCATCAAGACCTTGCAATTGTCAATAATTCTGGTGGTACATGCTCACCAAATAAGACCAGAGACTTTTGTTCAAAAAGTGGAGAGGGCGGTTCTTTCCTAAAATTTGGCAAAATCCTCCTTTAAACCTTTAAGGAACTGTATGTGTCGCCTGTTCAATAGTGTGAGTATGATCTTTTCATTGTTGAAGAGTATTGTGTTACAAATCTGCACAGAGGAAATATTGTTTTTATTAGGTTGCCTCTGTCTGTTTTTCTCTGAACTGCTGAAATACAGTTATATATAATAAAGCTCTTTTGTGATAGGAAAAAACTAAATTTAATTCACAACATGTATCCATTAGAGCACTGTTGTCCACTGCGCATTATGGCTCGTGTTGGATATTTTTCCAGCTGTTACACATGTCTGCAGCAGTGAGAGGAGGACGAGGGTAAAAAGTGCAGGTCGTAGTGACTGACAGCTTGGGGGAGGGAGAGCACTGAGTCATACATATGGACTGATTATTATGCATGAGATTGTAGCTTCTGTATTCCAAGGTGAAGATGTCAACAGTTGCGGAGTGAGACGCCTGTTGCCCAGCGGTCTTCTACCGGAGACTCCAGATGCCACAAGGCTGTCATCTGCACTGAGAAAACTGAGTCCCTGTTTCCTGTTTACACAGAGACGCTGTGACAGTAAAACGATAGAGTTGACGGGCGGATATGGGTCTTTTGTTCACGCTGCTTTGAAAAACGGCCTCTAGAGTGGAACAAAGCGGCTGGGCTGTGCAGGGGAGTCATAATGCCGCCATGTATTGAAGCATTTATAGCATTTACGTCTAGCTAAGAACATAGCTGCTACTCACTTACTTTGTGTGCTCCCTGTGTCTCTATAACTACTGTCTTTTATGTGCGCTGCAACATTGAAATTTCCCCACTGTGTGAAGAAAAAGGTGCAGACTCTCTGGCTGCGATGACCTTACCACTTCCCCCCCATACAAGTGGACCTATGCAGAACAAACCTCAACAAAAATGGCAGCGGATCAACTCATGTCACTATCACTATGTGCTTCAGCAGCTCTTTCAATTGTTTAGTCTCTTAAAACAAAACCTTGATCAGTGGCGGCCGGCCAATAGAGGGCGCTAGGGCGCCGCCCCACCACTCACAACTTGCCATGTTACCTTGAATAAAACGTTAAAAAAAATAATAACATTAAAATATTTCGAAATTTATGTGTGTTTTATTTCAGATGTGGAAGAAATACTTTATAGTTTATGCTGAGTTGGATTGATTAAGCTCATCAGCGTTGTCTGTGTCGGACTGAGGACGTATTTCCGCCTCAGGGCGCAATCTTTTGCGCCCTGAGCCGTCTATGGACTCTCGTTAAAAGTTGTACATGCGCAGTAGCTCCTCTTCAATGCAAGAGATAAGACGATTTGGGGGCGCAGGAGAAGTGCGCCCTGAGGGGGCGGGATCGCCCGCGACCTGTACTGTCACTGTCTGTGACGTCCGTTTACAGTGATTGACAGGTCAAGCTGTGGGAGTTTGAGACGAACGTAAAGAGACGCAAAATGGAGAACGAGAAAAAGAATAATTCAGTTAGATCACTCAAAACAATACCGTTTGAGAGAAGATCATACCAGGAGAAGGTTGAGGTTAAAGAGCTTGGACCTGATCAGCCAAATATTACCATTAGTCTAATTTAGTCAGCAGTCCAGCGACAGGGGGAGACGGTACACTCGTACTTTTTCCAGGACCTGGTTCAGCGCCAAATCTTGGCTAGCAGCATGTAGCGAGGCTAATGCTTTATTTTGCTTTCCATGCCTCTTGTTTCAAACATCAGTATCTGACCCAGCATGGATCAAGACAGGTATGACTGATCTGAAGCACTTTTTAGAAAAGGCAAAGAAGCATGAGCAGACTGGTATCCACATGCAAAATGCCCTCAAATTAGCTATGTTTGGGAAGATAAATATTTCATTCTCGTGTGAGGCTTCAGTCACAACAGTCAGTGTAAACTTACTTACTGCTGGTATATATCTAGTCATCATATTCATAGCCCCCCCAGTAGAAAATTCCACCAGCCGCCACTGACCTTGATATGATACATGTGTGTGTTGCCGCCAAAAGAGGATACGAAACCATGCAAAGCTGTCGTTGCGCGTCCATTTTTGCTGTTAATGATTAATGAAGAATGAGGTTGGTGCATTCTTTTCTGGCTTTCCCACAGACTGTAAATACTAACGAAGGTGGTCACGCCTATCTCCGCCGTTGAAACTGATGCGCCATCACTTTGGCACTCTGTGGGCTTTTCAAAAATGGCCGCGGGCAGCCCCTCCTGCAGGAAAATTGTGAAAAAACTGCACTAGCCCCATTCATCTAACGAGTGCATTCAAAAGTCAACAGCGGCTAAACTAGACTGGTTCAAAACAATACAGTCCCCTCAGCATTGACAACATCTGGAACGAAGCTTTGGGCCAAGAGCAACTTTTGGACCATCCTGTAAAGATGCTTTCGAGAGGGAAGAATACGCCATACAAACCATTGGGTAATTCTCTTTCTGGGTACACCCCCACTGGCCCGGGGTGGTATTGCAAGTATGTCAGTGCACATGCTTATGGATGTTTTTGAGCCGGGACCGCCCCCACTGTGCTTTCCGGTGGCCTGAGGAGGATGTTGTTGAGGAAGTGGTTGTTGAGGAAGTGGTTGTTGAGGAAGTGGTTGTACTGGCGGGTGTCCCGTTGTAAAGTTCCACCGCCCACTACTGGCCGGGCAATAGAACTACATCCTCTCCATGTGCCTGAGACAGGGGGAGTGTGGCGTCTCAATTGTCACATAAAAGTGTCGTACCGTCTTCAGCAGGTTTCACTGATGCCCCTGGACTGCAATCAATTTACAACAGGAGAATATATAGAACTGCATAATAGTATTCTTCCAAACGTCTTTATAGTTTCATTAAAGCATTCAGAACACAACATATTTTAATACAATAGCTGGGCGCTGCCTTAAAGATTGGGTGAGGTGCTCGGAGAAGAGCCGATGCCCGAGCCAGTGGAGGTGGCTTCTCCTGGTTAAATTAATAACATTTGACCAAAGCGATACACATAATGTAGACTACATTAAATCTGGTTGAGATGTCTACATAACTGTTTAAATACTGTACAAAGAGTGAAAAGCCTCTGTTATATCTAGGCTACTATTGACCACCTGACCCCTTTACAATTATTATGACCAAATAGCACATTTAGAAGCCACCTGAAGCCAGAAAATCTCATTTGGCTGGTAATTGTCACCCGTTGCCTCAACTGTGAAGTCACTTAACCCAGAGAAACCTGGTGCAGTTCTCCTCCCCCACCTCTGTCACACTCGGCTGTCTGAGCCTTCCAGCGCACCACCTCTTTTGCATTTAGCCAAAAGTCATTTATTCCTTACCCCTTGCAGATTGGCCAAATTAAACGGGTGTCTTGTGGTTAAAATATATCTTCATTGCTGTCGTCATCAATACCACAGGGTCATTGCACATCAGAAAATTATCGTTGGAGTGGAAAATTCTCATTCTGTTTGTTTGTCGTTTATGTTATGAATGTACATCTGCAAGAGAAAGTACATTATGATCATAAACTGTAAATGTTACTGCCTTTCTCTGACGATGTGCCACCACTTTGGCCATCCGTGGGCTTTTTCACAAAGGCCACAGGGCAGGAAAATGTGAAAAAATGCATTCAAAAGTCCACATAGGCTAAACAAGACTGGTCCTAAAAACAAAACTCTTACAAAAGTATTGGGTAATTCTTTTTCCGATTACACCCCCACCACCAAGGAGTGAGATTGCAGCACGTCAGCGCACGTGCTCATGGACCTTTTAGGAGCCGGGATCTGCCCACACTGGTTATGATCGGGACTAAAAAGTGAACAGGTCTGCTTGCACTGGAGAGACAAGAAATTGTGCAGAAATGGGAGAAAGGAGGAGATAAAAACGTGGCTTGTCTTCCGATGACTGAAGCTCTTTTCTATCGCACTTGATAAAAATTCCATGGGGATTATGGAAAGGCGCTCTCCCCAGGTGCTGAGCAAGAGTATGGTTCGGTTGTGCCACTCCAGAAAATACTGTTTACAGTGAGATAGCGCGAGAGACAGCTTTGAGGCAGAACAAAAGATTACCATTTTTCAACTTATCAAAAGAAAGCAAGCGTTTGTGATCAAAAAGCAGCACGCAATTTTGCATTCAAGGTCAGTACATATCAATTCGTATGTGCATAAAGAACGGAAGATTATATAATAAGCCTCGTCGGTGGTTGTCTTTTTGTTTGCCCGAGCCTCTCCACACAAACGAGCTCGTCTCAGCTCTGAAGAGCAAATGCAGCTCTCCATTTCCTGTCCTTGTATTTTTCTAAAGCTGTAATATTTTTTTGAACTTGGATACTTAGCCAGCACAGTGTGACAATTCTGAATACGGTTCAGGATGATATTGATGACATGTGACGGGGGATCTTTGGTGTTCAGAGTGACTCACTTTCCTCCATCGTTAAAAGACAAAGCCGACACTTCTCTTGCCATACTCGGAGGGGAATGTGTTTTAAAGCATTTAAAGGTGTTTTCTGTCGCTTGTCAAGGAGGCAGGGCTTGATGGTGACATGCAACAGGACTCTTTGGACTCAGGAGAATGCACAAAAGGACCAGTTTAATGTCTGATAAACTCCCATTCTCTCAGCAGAACCTCACAGCTACAGAACCTCACAGCTGCAGAACCTCACAGCAGCAGAACCTCTCAGCTACAGAACCTCACAGCTACAGAACCTCACAGCAGCAGAACCTCTCAGCTACAGAACCTCACAGCAACAGAACCTCACAGCAACAGAACCTCACAGCTGCAGAACCTCACAGCAGCAAAACCTCACTGCTGCAGAACCTCACAGCAACAGAACCTCACAGCTACAGAACCTCACTGCTGCAGAACCTCACAGCTGCAGAACCTCACTGCTGCAGAACCTCACAGCAACAGAACCTCACAGCTGCAGAACCTCACAGCAGCAAAACCTCACTGCTGCAGAACCTCACAGCAACAGAACCTCATTGCTACAGAACCTCACTGCTGCGGAACCTCACAGCTACAGAACCTCACAGCTGCAGAACCTCACAGCAACAGAACTTCACAGCAACAGAACCTCACAGCTGCAGAACCTCACAGCAGCAGAACCTCACAGCTGCAGAACCTCACTGCTACAGAACATCACAGCAACAGAACCTCACAGCAACAGAACCTCACAGCAGCAGAACCTCACAGCAACAGAACCTCGCAGCAACAGAACCTCATTGCTACAGAACCTCACAACTGCAGAACCTCACAGCTACAGAACCTCACAGCTGCAGAACCTCACAGCTGCAGAACTTCACAACTGCAGAACCTCACTGCTACAGAACCTCACTGCTACAGAACCTCACAGCCACAGAACCTCACAGCAACAGAACCTCACAGCTGTAGAACCTCACAGCAACAGAACCTCACAGCTGTAGAACCTCACAGCAGCAGAACCTCACAGCTGCAGAACCTCACAGCAACAGAACCTCACAGCAGCAGAACCTCACAGCAGCAGAACCTAACAGCTGCAGAACCTCACAGCTGCAGAACCTCACAGCTACAGAACCTCACAGCTGCAGAACCTCACAGCTACAGAACCTCACAGCTGCAGAACCTCACAGCTGCAGAACCTCACTGCTGCAGAACCTCACTGCTGCAGAACCTCACTGCTGCAGAACCTCACTGACTGCTACAGAACCTCACAGCTGCAGAACCTCACTGCTACAACAATATCTACTTTCAAATGTATGTCTCTTATTTCCTTTTGTAATAAATGTGAGATAAAGGTGAACACTTCAAACACAGATCAAAGCTGCAGACTGATCGTTCCAGTCCAAGGCTTAGAGAGAAAGCTAGTACCTCTGATGAAGGCAGAAGTCGACCGCAGAAACATGTCAGGTAATTAAGCAGTACTAGCTTTCTTTACTTTTTTGTATCAAAATAACCTTCTAAGCCTTAAACATAAAACAAAATAAAAGTTTAACATTTGGTTGTTCCAGTACCCCTCATAATGTGCCTTTTTCTTTACACAGACATACAGTACAAAATGTTACACATACTTTTCACAGCACCATTCAACCAGTGGGGAATGAGCTATACGTGTGCACGGGGAGGCGTGACATTTCCTTTAAAGACCTTATGACGGGTTTGATTTATTTAGAAATACAGTTTTAATACCATTTTATATTAGAAGAGAACTACTAAAGGTTTCAAAATCAGTTGTTGTTTTTTTTGTCTGATCCCCCCAAATCGAAATAACCCCATAGCAACGCCCTTAGAAACGAAAAAACTTCACAGCCCTTGGTGACGTCAGAGTAGGTACGTTTCAACGCTGTAAGTTGTTTACAATTTGGTATTTGTTCTTTTTTTGTGGATATTCAAGATGACAAGGCCGTGTACAGCGAGTATGATATTACTACTAGATTATTACACATCGTTGTCACTGAGATAGTCCAGTGGTTGTGTCGATGGACTGCCAATCTAGATACTTGGGTTCAAATCCCACCTCAAGACACTTTTTCACTCTCAAAACGGCAATTTATGTGTAGTGAGCAATTGTCGCCTGTAGAGGGCAGTATTGTGTTGGGCATCAGTGGAGAGAAGAGAGAAAAGGCAGTCCTGTGGCATAGATCCATGGTTTTTCAATGCATGGGCGTTACCCGCTGTGACGTCACACACAGGTTAGAGCATAGACAGCTTAAATTCATGAAAAACACGTTCTTTTTTATAAAATATAGGATTTTTTTTGCCAGAATCTATTTCAGATCGACATTGTCATGCAATTTTGATATACACAATTTTGTTTTTAAAAACCCGGCATAAGGTCGTTTACTTCCTGTCTGTGCTGTCGCTCGGCTGTGGTGAGGTGTAGTGATGTTTTTTAGTAATTAGATCGATACATTCAGCTGAGACTGACCCAAAAGTGTGGACGTGCTTTATTTCTGCGTTTTGACTGTGGCCACTCAGAGATCAGTTAACTTTATAAAAGCACAATCAAAGAGCACTGCTGTGTCCCAAAAATACCCAGTATCCTCACAGTTTAATTCCAGTTTGAGCATTATTTAGGAAACTCGTGTAAACATCTGAACTCCAGTGAAACTCAAGATCCCCACGCACCGGAATTCAAGTGTCGTTATAACTAAAATGTGGAAGTGGTGCGTACATTGAGCCAATCGTTTCAATCTGCAAAAGGAGTTAACCCCTCCCACCTGTTAACGAAGACAACGGAGCAAATCCAGAACTTAGTACGAAATAAAATGAGTACGATGGTGTGGTAAGACCAGGCTGGGTTGGACTCTTCCAAAGTCTCACCTGTGGATCTGACCATTGTGTTCATGAAGCAGGGATTGATTAAGAGCTGGACAAAAACGTTCTGTTACGTCTGTTTATTTATGTATTCTGCTTCACACCTGAAAGAGAGAGGATCCTAATTAGTGCACGATTGTTTGTTGGTGCGTCGTTCTTGATGAGTTCCAGTTTTTTCAATCGCTGAGGATCAAAACACACGTCCCACCACGGTCATGTTTCAGCATCTGTCGCTGTGAAAAGAACACAAACAATCACGAGGCTTTTGGAACCAGCACAGATGCAGTATTTGTAGATAGTCGTCGCCCCATGAGGAGAGCGGATGGAAAATTGATTTGCAGATTGGGTTGATCCAGACAGAGATGGTTTTCGGACACACATGGACAGTTGGGGAGTTTACAGAGAGATAAACTGGATCAACACTAGACCGTGAGAAGATCTTGGTTGAAAATGAAATGGATTAGAGTTGATTAATGTGTAATAAAGTCTGACCGTCACAGTTTCATGGAGAAATATCCGAAGTTACTTTAAGATAACTCTATGGAACTAGATACGCACTCATCGAGCACAAACCTCCGCCAAGAGATACAGTTATATTACTTTAAAAAAATCTTGTAAATCCAGATGGTGCTTTTGATCACCTCCGAAATGTTAGCGTTTGTCTAAGGTTTTCTGAGAATTTCTTCAAACCCGTTTCCATTACCTCCAGTGGCTGTAAAACTCTAAATATGCACCAGTTCAGAGTTGTGTTTAAAAGAGAATTGTAATTTCCCATTGTGGAAAAAAGATCCAGGGGCTCTTCTGGATGGAGTGGACAGGTGTCTCCTCATGTGTGGGTGGGTTTCCTCCAGGTGCTCCGGTTTCCCCCACCACACCAAGCATCCACCAAAGGTCAAATCCTCCAAAGAAAGTATTGTACTGACCAAGTAACACCTGGAAGTGGGTCAGAGAACAACCTACCATGGTAAAATATTTCCATTTTACACATTATTATACATATGTTATCCCCATTTGACCATTATTTTGTGTTATGTGTTGAATGTTAAAAATTAGCACATGTACTATAAGACTCACTACAATACGTCTGGTTTGTCCAATGTTATTATGTCTATATTTACATTTCAATTGAAATTTAGGGATGTTACCAAGCAACCATGTAATAAACGGCATTGGCCCGAACTCCTCAAACACACTCAGAAATTATATGAATATATTATAATAATGCATCGGTTTAATACAGCGCTTTTTTGGACTCATGTCAATGTTCTTTCATTCCAAACACGGTGGTGATAAACTACTGTAGCCACAGCTGCCCTGGGGCACACTGACAGAAGCGAGGCAACCAGTCTGTGCCATCGGCCCCTCCCACCACCACCAACCATTCACACACACACCAGACTCATTCTAATGTGGGGGAAGTGTCTTGCCTAAGGACACAACCACAGTTTGGCACTTTATAGCCGCCGAACTGTGGCACCTGCTGTTCCCAGAGGTTAAGTGTCTTGCCCAAGGACACAACGACAGCAGACAGTGGGAGTCGAGAGTGAAAGTCTTGAGGTGGGCTCGAACCCACGACCTTCTGGCTCAGAGTCCAATGCTCTACCAACTGAGCTACTGTCGTACATATATGTTTATTTTTGTCTATTTAAATTGTGCCAAACATCACAATGAATTTTCTTTATCTTAATGTGAACTCGGCTCCATGTATTTTCCCATTTTTCCAAAGACTTTTGTTTGTGTAAATCTATCTTTTTTTTCATTCCACCAAAATAAGTCAAAACACACTTTGAGGACCCATAAGGACCTTCATTGGTCGTGATTTGAAATCTTCCTCTCTGGTAAATATGGATAATCCACAAACACATTTGCTTCACACAGTTGTTGTTGGATCACTGCAACACTCGAGTCCTTCCAGTGTTGTTTTGTAGTCTCCGCGAATTTGGCAAGTAGGAATGTGAAAGTAATTGTTTATGTTTCTTTTAACTACTTCCAGCTTGCTTACGTCCACGGATCCGTGAGCACGAGAAAGTATGTTTTGCCAAACCCTGAAATACAAGACATTGAATACACAACACTGTTACTTATGAATCTATGAACAATTACTCATCGGGCACTGCCTTTAAAGACTGTTTATTAGTAAAAGTGTGGGTATGTTTAAGTTCAAGTGACCTGCTGATGTACTGCAACCCACTGTAGGTCTACAAATGTAACCATCCATCCATCTTCTTCCACTTAATCCATTTGTGGGTTCGGGGGGGAAGGGGGTGGCGGTCACAGAGCACCAGCCCCTCACTGATCCTCCTGCAGGTGCTGAGTCCACAGGAGCCGTGATCTTTCAGCGGGGGCCTCAGGCAAAGTGGGGTTAAAGCTGCATTACCTCACTTTATTATTGTATTCATTAGTTAAATCCAACCCATGTCCATGCAGTGCTTTGGGATATACGTCCCTTTGAAGAATAAGTAGTGCAGGTTTGTCCTTGAGGGTCATTTTATTTTAGATCGAGTTTGCAAAGTGGTGGTGCATTAGCTTCAACAGCAGAGAGAGGTGTGACTACGTCTGTTATTATTTACAGTCTATGATTGGGACAAACAGCATGTATTATTTATGAACACAAGTTAGGTACCCCAGCTTTAAGTGCGTCATTAGTTGTATATTATCCAAACATATGTCGTCTGACCGGAATAATATGAACTCAATCTTAGTCTTTTTAGATGACCAGGAGTTTCAGTCTGTAATTACTCACCAAGACAACACAAATCCAGCTTTTATATGTTAGAACCACGGCAGCCGAAGGGAACAAGAAGTGTTAAGTGTTTTTCAACCCGCACTCGACATTTCTACACAAAATTGTCCCGTATTTGCACTGTGCCGACGGGTGACGGGGCTAAGCCAGGTTTATGAAAAGTTCTCATTCTGGGTCATTTCTGCCAACAGCCAATAAAGAACGACTTTACCGGCTCTAAAGTGAAATGGCCCGTTAGAATTTTGTGGAAGTGTCTTTCCAGTTCACAATATGCTCATTGGCTTTGGAGCAGCTGGAAACCCTTAGAGCTTATGTTTCGCTAAATGGCTTCGTAAGACTCTGCGGACGCTACATAGGACTGCCTCTGTACAACCGTCTCTGGGATTAAAATAGAGATTTGAACCAAGACAAAACATATTGAAAAATCACACTCTTTATAAGACAAGACAAAATGGAAAAAGATAAATCGCTTTGATTGTTTAAAGACATTTTCAGAGTCACATTGATACAAAGATCTATCATGGAACACCAGTATTTAATATACTGCAGTTATTATACCACATTTTATATTCTGTAACATGTACATGGTAATAAGCCAACTTTGCTTCAAAAATTGTTCAGTTAGTTCATCCAAGAAACTCAAAGAGAAACCAAAGTAAGATTTAAACAATATTCAAGCCACTCTGAAAGGGAGAACATTACCCTGCGATGTGGTGAAATGTCTTGCACCTTTTTACCACAAGAGAACACAGAAACGCGACGCTTTCGGGGTAAAACAGTGGATTTTTGTGGTGGCTTTTGTTTTTAATAAAGACATTGAAGTAAATAGATGTTCATGAATGATTTACAGTCAACATTTGTGTCTAGATGAGAATGATCAGAAACATATGAAGCCATTTCCCCCAAAAAACCTCCAGTTAGATCAGAAATGAAATGATTGCCTGAGGTCGTTATTTAGCGTCTGAGAAATTTCAGATTTTGCAAAACAGAAAGTCCTATTTGTTCATAATCAACAGATGTTTACCTTGAAGCCTCACCGCCTACATTTCTAACCAACTCACTGAAATGAAAACAAACATCGGAAAGCCATCATCTGAAGACCCCACGTTGAATGAATGACACAAAACTACTCACAGAGCTGTGGTTTCCAGTCGTAAAAGGAGACATTTAAGAAAAAAACCGAATTATTTCCTGTTGTAAAATGTCTCTAAACATGCAAAGGCCACAAGTGCAAAAACAAGACGATGAAAATGACTGTGACGTCCGAGATTTAAAAAGCAAAAAGTGAATCAAAACGATAGACGCAGCTTTGATAGTGTGACACGGACGGAGAGAAAAGTGATTCACACGTTTTATTAAGAGCAAAAAAGCACACAAAATAGCTCCAGTCTGTTCCTCTAATGTGTGTTGAAAATTGTGTGATGTCAAGACTCCTCCCTCTTTGCCGTAAAAAGCGAAAGTATCTGGAAAGTGAAAGATACGCCTCCGATCGCATCCCATAATCCTTTGCTGTCTTTCTCATGAGCCACCGTCCGCTGTGACCGCACTGACGTCTCATCCGTACTGTCAGAAGTGTGCGCTCCTTTGAGAATAGCATAAAATACACTCTAGATTTTATACTTTGTAGCCAACCAGATCACAGTCAGAAACTCAAAAAAAAATCGTAAAAATAAGTTAACATAATTCTGACACGTATAAGTTTACAATATGTACATTAGCTTTAAATTAAAATAGATTTGTCGCTTGTCTGATTGGGTTGTCCTCAGTGTTAGTACTTCCTGTTTACCATCCATCTCAGCCAATCAGAGTGCAGTAAGGCTTTCATCCAGTCCCTGCCATGAGTTGTCTAAGTGATGTGTTCATTTTACAACACACATGGCAGACCATTCCTCATCCAAAACAAATAAATATAAAATATATGTCATAATTCTCTATATATTCATAAACCCAACATAGATTCACCTCTGGAGTCGAACGGCCAATTCCCTTTCGCAAGCTTCAATTCCCTTTTTCCTCTTCCACAGTTGTGTTTTGTAGTTTTTGAGGAACAAAAAAAAGAAAAAAAGTATTCTCCAAAGCTGTACATCTTAAGTAAACAAATGTAAAAGTGCATGTTTTTTTGAATATGTTTTAATCCACGATATCCAAAAGTGTTGCAGGCACTTAAGTCCTTTCCCAAACGTTGTAGGTGTTTTGACAGTGGAGCAGGTTGGTTTGGTTATTCCTGGATTGGGTGCATGGGACGCCCTTGTCTGCCTTTCAGTCTGACAAAGAATTCCCAGAATCAAAATCTCGACGCTAGCCCAGGATATCCAGGTAGACGGGCGTGGCTTTCCCCATGGCGAACAGGACTTTCTGGATGTCCTTGATGTTGAGTCGCTGCTGGGGCTCCCTCTGCCAGCACCCCAGCATCACGTCGTACACCTCCTTGGGGCAGATCCGGGGCCTCTCCAGAACGCGGCCCTGGGTTATGCACTCGATCACCTGCAGGGGGAGACAGAGAGACAGACGCAGCAGAGTGAGACGCTTGTAGATTGCTGGTGTTTTCCGGTAATGAGAAAGCAGTGACGCCAGGCGAGCTGTCCTCTGAGCTTTGAACTAATGAAAGCCAGATGAAGGAAATAAACCGCATCCTTTCACTTTTAAATTTGTGCAATATTTGAAGGGAAGACAGTGTTTTTTTCTTCCCGCCCTCAAGCCAGAATTTAAGTGTTTTTTAAAACATGTGCTGGTGGATATTGGGCATGTTGCTGTAACAAGGCACTGATCATTTGGTTTTGGGCGACGGCTCTAATTACGTTCACAAAGAAGCTGATAGAACCGTCACCGCTGTGGGTTTGTTTGGGCCTGACACGGATTACACACAGACTGAAACGTCTGTAGAAATGCAGTTTAGTGTGGCCTCGACTATATAGACCATCTAGACTAGACTATCATGAATATATAGACTAGCTTGACTATATAGACCATCTAGACTAGACTATCATGAATATATAGACTAGCTTGACTATATAGACCATCTAGACTAGACTATCATGAATATATAGACTAGCTTGACTATATAGACCATCTAGACTAGACTATCATGAATATATAGACTAGCTTGACTATATAGACCATCTAGACTAGACTATCATGAATATATAGACTAGCTTGACTATATAGACCATCTAGACTAGACTATCATGAATATACTGTATAGACTAGCTTGACTAGACTATTGACTCTCTCAACTATCTAGACTAGACTATCTAGACTAGACTATCTTGACTAGACTATCTCAACTATATAGACTTTCTAGACTAGACTATCATGAATACACTGTATAGGCTAGCTTGACTATAGACTATCTAGACTAGACTATTGACTCTCTCAACTATCTAGACTAGACCATCTAGACTAGACTATCATGAATATACTGTATAGACTAGCTGGACTAGACTATTGACTCTCTCAACTATCTAGACTAGACTATCTAGACTAGACTATCTTGACTAGACTATCTCAACTATATAGACTTTCTAGACTAGACTATCATGAATACACTGTATAGGCTAGCTTGACTATAGACTATCTAGACTAGACTATTGACTCTCTCAACTATCTAGACTGGACTACCTAGACTAGACTATCTCAACTATATAGACTATCTATGGCGGCACGGTGGCTGAGTGGATAGCACTCTCGCCTCTTGGCAAGAAGGTCCTGGGTTCGAATCCCGATTGGACCAGGGCCTTTCTGAGTGGAGTTTGTCTGCGTAGGTTTCCTCTGGGTACTCCGGTTTCCCCTACCACTAAAAATATGACCAATAGTTGTAGCATGCGCCTCCTGTACTGGCCCCGCTCCCATCTCTGTGTGGAGTGAGAGACAAATGCCCAAAAATTAACAATTGTAAACCGCTTTGAGACTCAGATCTGCAGTGAAAAGGCGGTATATAAATAAAGATTACTTACTACTACTTACTACTCTAGACTGGACTATCTAGACTAGACTAGCTCAACTATCTGGACTAGAATCTCCAGTAAATAGAGATCTAGAATTCTGTTTCAGTTGGAGCACGTACAGCATTATGGGAAAGAAGACATGTTTGAAATAATATCCTGTGATTATATTTTGATCCCATTGGTTTTGTTCCATCAATCTGCTCCAAAATATTTATGATTAATTTTTTTGAGGCGACAGGCGTCTGGTCATGTCCAATCCTAGTTGAAAACACATGATAGCTTGATTACTTTTGAGGTTTAGTGACATTTACCCACAGTATCTTAAAAAATGCGTCTGGATAAATGATTGAGTGCATCTTTAAGTCTTGAGTAAAACGTTAAACCCTCCCTGAAGCAGCTTCTCTCGCCCGCACAGAAGAAGAAACACATGTCTCAGTCCATAGCAGCTTCGACAATGTCCACATGAAGCATCTTACCATTGATGTCGGGTTGAAAATTCATTAGTGGAAAACAACCTAATCCATATTCTAATCGAGTTTTATTGTCGAGGACGAAATGTTGAGAATGCGGTTGGGTGTGTTGTGGGGGCGTCCCTGCATGTGCTCTGCGGCCGGCAACAAAGACAGACCTAATTTTTCATTCAGTGTGGTTTTGTTCTCCCGTCACCGCATTAAAATAGGCTTGTCAAGAAGAAGCTGCGGCAATTTGACACATCCACACATCATGGCGGCCACACAACCATGTGCCGTAATACCATAGGAATCTGCTACGCCTGGACCATGGAGGGAGTGGGTGTTTTATAATGTTTTTTTGACTTTGGACACTTTGCAATATTCATTTTTATCTGGCATTACTTTGGGAATTTACCACAAACTCTATTAGATCTTGCTTCACTTTTATTGATACACCATTGAAAGTTTGCTTGTTGAGTTTGTGACTGTGTTTGGAGACCAGAGAGAGACCAGAGACAGACCAGAGAGAGACCAGAGAGAGACCAGAGAGAGACCAGAGAGAGACCAGAGACAGACCAGAGAGAGAGACCAGAGACAGACCAGAGAGAGACCAGAGAGAGACCAGAGAGAGACACCAGAGAGTCCAGAAAGATACAAGAGACAGAGACCAGAGACAGACCAGAGAGAGAGACCAGAGAGAGACCAGAGAGAGACACCAGAGAGTCCAGAAAGATACAAGAGACAGAGACCAGAGACAGACCAGAGAGAGAGACCAGAGAGAGACCAGAGAGAAAGACCAGAGAGAGACCAGAGACAGACCAGAGAGAGAGACCAGAGACAGACCAGAGAGAGAGACCAGAGAGAGACCAGAGAGAGACACCAGAGAGAGACCAGAGAGTCCAGAGAGATACAAGAGACAGACCAGAGAGAGACCAGAGAGAGACCAGAGAGTGACCAGAGACAGACCAGAGAGAGAGACCAGAGAGTCCAGAGAGAGCGCAGAGAGAGAGACCAGAGAGAGACCAGAGAGAGACCAGAGAGAGACCAGAGAGAGACCAGAGAGTCCAGAGAGAGACCAGAGAGTCCAGAGAGAGACCAGAGAGAGACCAGAGAGAGACCAGCTAGAGATAGATCAGAAAGAGACCAGAGAGAGTCCAGAGAGAGTTCAGAGAGAGACCAGAGAGAGTCCAGAGAGAGTTCAGAGAGAGACCAGAGAGTCCAGGGAGAGAGACTCCAGAAAGAGACCAGAGAGAGACCAAAGAGAGTCCCGAGTCCAGAGAGAGACCAGAAAGAGACAAGAGAGACCAGAGAGAGTCCAGAGACAGTTCAGAGAGAGAGACCCTGCTTGGCTTTTCTTCATTTATATAGTCACAAAGCCCTTTACAATTGTTGGTATTTGTGAGCGCCCGGAGGAAACCTACACAGACACAGGGAGAACATGCAAACTCCATTTGCAAAGGCCCTGTTCCGGATCTAACCACCTGAAGTGTTTTGTGAACCATTGTGGATTTCTCATAACTACCGAAGAAATCGAAGCATGCAATTCTTTAACACAAGAAACTCTTATAGATTTTAAAGTGTAAAACTGTATTTGCCAAAGAAAATATTGATTTTCCACTTGGGGATGTTTGTGAAGTACGGCAACGCAGGGTTTTTCTTTTAGCTCAATTCACCTTTTCCAATACTCTCTTTTTTTAACAGAGTAAATGTAATTGAATCGTATTGATTTAAAGACACCATTTGCTTAGATAAAATAATTAAGATTAAGCTGTGGTGATGAGGCCAAATGTAAAGTATGTAGATGTTATTATTATTACTTTTATTCTCTACTTTTGACCTAGTCTGGCCTTATCCATCCGTACCCTCCGATCAATCATCATGTCCTGCATGTAACGTCTGGGTCTAGTCCCTGTGTTTGTGATTACAATCGGTTGAATTCCATCCGACCAATCAGAGAGCGCGGGAGGCGGGTGTTGTAGTTAGATGTGGGTGACGTCAAGAGTTTGCGTCGAACAGGAAGGTTGTAGTTTGGCGAAGAATGTGATAGTAAAGTATTCTGTTCTGGTTCTATCAAGAAATTGAAGCTGGATTAAGAGGAATGTTTAGCAAATGTTATTACTGGCAAATATTGTGGCGCTACTCCCCACGGGCTCTGTTACCAGCAAAGGAGATGGCTAGGCTAAATGCTAAAGCTAGGCTAAATGCTAACAACTCACTCGGGCTTAGTACGAAGTGAAATTTGTACTATGGTGTGGTACGACCCGGCCACTTTTGACCTGTTTGCACCAAGAAAGAGACAAACCAATTTCCTCCACTTCCTGTTACATACACAGCAATAAAAACGATTCTGATTCTGAAATGCATCCGCACATTGGACCAGGGAGTAGTTTCATGATTGCATTTTGATTTGACATTTACATGAACAATGCATCTTCTACTTTTGTCTTGTCCCTTTTTCCTCATAGCCTCTGCGCTTCACGTGTATAAGGCCCAGTGTCTTCATCAATGCTCCGCGAAAAAAGCTCACTCTTTTCATTCCTCAGGTTGTCATGGATGTCTCACATAACAAATGCATTCAATCTTCCCACACATATCGTGCGTACATGGATGAAATGGTGAGTGGCCCAGAGCGGCGTGTGCATTTACTGTGTATAGAAAAGCACAGTGTACAATGTGCCGCACAGGGAAAAGAAAACACATCTACCGGTTTTTTCTGGATTATAAAACCCTATTGACACGGTGTTAGTATGTACTTGTGGACCTCTGGTATTTTGTGAAGATCGTGGAGGATGCCTGAGATCTTAGTCCCGTGCGTCATGTCTGTAATTAATAATAATAGTAATAATTCGGCCGTAAATAACCGCCTGTATTTGTGCAAGCACAGACAGTGATAATGCTAAACCATAGAATCTACATGTCAGGGATTGTGATGCTATCGCCGCCTTCTCTACTGTTTTTTGTCAACATCTTGCGCCTTTTTATATTCAGTAGGGAAAAAAAAGTATTTAGTCAGCCACCGATTGTGCAAGTTCTCCCACTTAAAATAATGACAGAGGTCTGTAATTTTCATCATAGGAACACTTCAACT